GATTCTCGCATTTTAGCCTCGTGTATACGTATCCTTTCGGCTTCTCTCTCGGCTTCTTCAGTCTGGGCTTCTGCCGCACTTCTCCAGGTTTCTGCCTCTTTTCTCCGGGCATCTGCCTCTTTTCTCCGGGCATCTGCCTCTTTTCTCTGTTGAATGCTCTCGACATAATCTGAGAGGTCCTCATCACTTGTCCCTGTCCAGACCATCCGCTCGATCAGCTCAGTTCTTTTTGGGGTTGAGGAGTCCAACACATCCAGTTTCAACTCCTCAGCGATCGATAGCAACACGGGTTTTCACAGGGTTTTCAGATTCATGACTGCTTCCGGTGCCGTTATCTGTTTCACAAATTATTGATGTTTTGCAACTAATTAACCCTGAGAACAACGACCGCCGTTGTTTTCTGCCTTACCTCAAGTTGCCTGTTAACTTAGTCTGCAAAAGCTTCCTCAAGCTCTTACACGGAATCTTGTTCTGTCACTGTTAACCTTGCCTTCACTCACAGACTATAGCTTAAACAAGCTATCTCACAATTATCTGCCTGACGCAAGTAATCTGTTAACCCAATGACTAAAACAGCCATGTCACCATCAACTTTGCTGTCACCCACAGACCATAGCCTACGCAACTATCTCACAATGATCTGCCTGACGCAAGTCATCTGTTAACCTGATGGCTAAAATAGCTCTGTCACTGTTACCCTTGCCGTCACCCACACAATATAGCCTAATCAAGCTATCTCACAATCTGTCTGACGCCAGTTACACAATGTCCAAAAAAAGCTATTCTCCCTTCCAGCACTTACTCTCACATTAGAAAATGCCTTGTAATGTTTAACAGAGAAAGTCGGCACTCACCTGACTAGCAGTCATGCCTGCAGCGTCGTGCATCTCCGCAATGCCTTTCGGTTGCCTCTCCCAGTTGATGACCTTGTGTCATCCCAGAAGTGCCATTCAGCTGCCTCTCAAATATATGAGCTCGGATCATCCGACCTTTGTCGTCCAATCGCCTCTCGAAGTCGATGGGTTCGTAGCATCTGACTGCTGTCGTCGAGTCGTTGCTACCTGGGTTGACGCCATCCCACCGCTGCCACCAGCTGTTGCGACCTGGGTTGACGATATCCCACCGCTGTCACCAGTTGTTGCGACCTGGGTTGACGCTATTCTACCGCTGCCATCCAGTTGTTGCGAATCCGGGTCCCGCGGATCTCGGTTTGGTAGCGGGTCCCGTCTTAGGTCTCATCGTCGAACAAGTCAGATGAGACGCTTGTAACAACGACAGTTTATTTACATGGTTAGTAACTGAGCATTTTAAAGGAGCTGATCAAGTGATCATGAGAAGTCAAGAACTGTACACAAGAACTGTTGAACTGTAGAACTCAAAATATACAGAAGTCTTCCGCTTATATAGCGCCACGTTGCCAACTCTGGGCGCATTGTCCGAGGCTTCAGCCAGTATGGCGCTCGATGTTCGAGGTGCTCCACCCACGAAGGCGGGAAAACGACACCACACAATGCACGTGGAGAAGGCGCAATCTACACGATGCCCGAATATTGTCACAAACGCACTGCACCGACGTTTCGCACACGTCACCAAGATTTCCAGCACGTCCAATGATCTTAGATGGCCTTGATTTCCAAGAAATCCTCTGGCAGTTGGATGAGTTTCGAAAAGCCGGCTGCCGGTACACGTGCCGAAACTTGCCTGACTGCGTTCGGGTAGGACAATGAAGTGGTTCACCAGCTTATCGTCAAAACATGCCGCTCCATTCAGCCGATCTTATGGAGAAAAGGGAAAGGAGGAGTCGTTGACTAATCCGTCGTCGTCGAGGCCCCGAGGCGGGCTTCCGCCTGGGCTGCAGCAGATTGTGTCCTTTTTCTTTTCCACACATTCATTTCCTCGTTGTTTGGTAGAAGCTGCAGCTTAGCTGCAAATTTCCGGGGCTCTGCTTCTCCTCACAAGATGCAGCCACAACCAGTTTGGTTTTATCTTTCAGCCCAAACTGCAAATACCACGCTGGTTCCGATCTTTCCAGATCCTCGGTGACCTCGAAAATGACCCAGCTGCCTGCTTGTTTGTCTCGAAGGTCTCGCATAGAGCTCACAATGGCCTTTTTGGTTCGTGCGTTTTCTTTGCGTGAATCGGTCCTGGACCTCTTTTTTTCGTTTTGCTGACAGGAAATCAACCCGTCTTGACGGCATATCTTTGTTGGAACGCGTCGAAATATTTTCGACCAGTTCGCAAAGGCTGAAATACTTAAATAGTCATGGCGGTCATAACACTAGGCACTGCCAAAATGAAGAGCTGGTAGTGTGATTTAGCACGTGTTCTCCAATGAATTGGGACATTGAACAACGCTCGCTACCTCTTCTGCTTTTCGACGCACTCGTCATTTGCCACCCTTCTGTAAAGTAAACAACTACGTCCAGTGCAGCACATAAGAATGTGACATACGCGTGCTTGAAGCCAGTAATGTCATCACGCTTATGGCTCAAGCACTAAACTGACCCTTTCTGTATTCACGTGCATTTATATTAGTAGAGCCTGACAAAAAAAAAGGCCTTCAGTGTGGTGAGACTGCCAATGCGGCACGAATCCGCCAGACAGACGCGTGCACTCTGCAGTATTTTAACAGGCATTGTGCCTCTTTTGCAAGATGAACTATGTAATCGATTAAAATGTATGTGCCATTGTGCTAACATTCTGTCATTGCGAACATTTGCATAAACGTATTGGTAATTATTCTTATATTTTCATACTTCCGTTTGTTTTTTGCGTAAAAATTTCTATCATCTTGCGTTACGTTGTGTTCAACCTATTCGAGAGATCCGGCTATCATAGTACCAGAGCAAATGAAGCCAAGTCTGACTGTTGGGAGCAAAGTTTGACTGTCTGGGACAAAGTCGTGCGAGTGCATTCCGACCACGGAGGCCACATTTTTGGTGGTGGCATAAATGCTCGAGGCCCCTGCACTTTGATTTAGGTGCACGCTTTTGAGCTCTATTCCATGGCATCTCTCATTATTGTATCGTTATTGATGGACGGTAAACCGATGAAATATTGAAGTTTCTGACCCGATTGATTGGTACATTGCCTCGTATCATCACGTCATAAGCGGCACTTCTGCTTTGAGTTAGCAGAGATGTCACTGGCCTATATAATTGAACGAAACGTTCGTTGATTGATTTTGTGGGGTTTAACGTCCCAAAACCACTATTTGATTATAAGAGACGCCGTAGTGGAGGGCTCCAGAAATTTTGACCACCTGGGGTTCTTCACCGTGCACCCAAATTTGAGTACACGGGCCTACAACATTTCCGCCTCCATCGGAAATGCAGCCGCCCCAGCCGGGATTTGATCCCGCGACCTGCGGGTCAGCAGCCGAGTACCTTAGCCACTAGACCACCGTGGTGCGGCGAACGAAACGTAAAATAAAAATCTTGCTTACCCATAATTTATTCCATTACCCTTGAAGACGCTAGCTGGTAAGTGTTATTATAGTTTGAATAAAGTAATACCAATTGGTTACGTTCTTGTAGCAAGCAGAACTCTATTTAAATTAGGAAGGTGTTAAACTGACGCTCTCAGTTTTAACCACAAAGGGCTTCTATATTAAACGAAACCTGCCAGAACTCTGTCCCCGGTTAGTCCGAGTTCACGTAGATAAGGTTGGCTACATTTTGAAGACGATATCTTTCTTGGGGACCTTCGACGCAAAAATGTTGGTCTGTCTGTCTGTACGTTTGTCTGTTTTCCCACTCTTAACGGCACCGGGTACTTGAAACGGCCGACTCCATGCGCAGCGCCCACCTATGCTGCTCAGGAGTTAGCGTTCATACTTGTACAATTGTCAATTAAAAATCAATTATTGCACATGTCTGCGGCACCATAAAAGCACGTATATATTCTGCATGTGTGACTTTTACTTCATGAGGCATGCATAAGTAATTTTAAGGACCATAGCGCTTATCACGCTGCACTGACCATGCAACGCATGCACGAAAAGGCGAGTGTTTCCAACACTTTGCTAAGACGAGACGGCGGTGGCACCTAAACGTCACCTTGCGTTCTACACCTTACCACATCTGAAACGGGCGCGCACACCCGTCTCAGAGCCATGCGCTTCGTTTTCCAAAAAAAAAAACAACTGCGAGATGGCGCTCATGTCTCACGTGTTACGTGACTTGATGCGCTCGTTTGCCTCCGTTGCACGCTTTAGGCACGCAGCCCCTCTGGTATACCATTCACCGAGTTTCTTGCGCAGAAAATGAAATAAAGGTTTTGTTCACTCTTTCCACAAGCAAGACTATCGTCTTTCGACGACATTTGAGATTAACATGCAGATATGAGGCCAGTTCTTCTAGATGTATCTCCTTTCTCACTTCTTCGCAGCCCTGACACAGTACATTTTTGTGAAAAGAAGCCTGTAGACCAAAGGTGAAAGGTCGGTTCCTATGCAATTATTTATATTTTACGTTCGAAATTTGTTCTATGAGGTACATTCACACAAAGAACACACGGCATCTGCTTTTGACAAAACCAGAGCTTTTCAGGTCTGCCTCGTCTATAGGGCGCGCAACATTGGAATGCTTGAACAGCTAATGTCATGTCATTGGAGGTGAAGAAATTTGAGACTGCTAATGCTACTTCTGGTCATAATTTTTTGAGGCATTGTTAGGTATTGGGATTCATACAGAAAAGTCCGCCTAATGTTGCGTCAGCTTTGCGAAGCTGCAGCAAAAAATAAAATATCATAATCAACAATACCTTTTCTATCAGTTCGAAAACCCTAGTCAATTTGCGAACGCACAAATGAATAAAAACAGAACTGAATTATTGTTGATTGTTGTAAACAAGGCTGAATCTGTTTATAGAAAAAGTCGAAAGTGAGGTGATTGGTGTCCTAATTGAGTTACCAGCAGCAGCTGAATTTTATGCAACGGGAACGCTTTACTAAACTTCCACAACTTGCACACATGAATTTTCTTCTCTCCATCCTACAGTGGAAGACATGAACGGATTTCTTGCCAAATGCCTGCTGATGGGACTAGCTACTGGGACCGGTAAGAACGTTTGTGTAAATGGCTTCTCAAATAGACAAAAGTACACACCGATAAAATTGTATTATCATCTTTTTTTTCAGAAAACACTTTGTTAGAGTGCCACTCCGAGGCACTCATACTCTTGTTGAGTGGCATCGCCGTTGAAGTCGGTGGTGTAACTAACAGACATAAAGAGGTAGCCGAGCCTTGAAAAAATGCATGAAAGGAAAATACCCAGAATTGAAAGAGATATGAGCTTCTACCCTATGTGTGACAGTCGAGTACACTAGCACAGAGTGACGATGGGGCTCGAAACGTATTTGGAAAAATACCTTATACAGGCGTCAAAGGAATCGCGTTAACTCATTCAATAGAGAGTGGTAGAAGGGTAAAACAAAAATCATCACAGAATGGAAATTGCGCAACAAATGTAAGGCTTATTGCCTAATTCAGAGTGCTCAGCCATAATTTTCGATCCTTATTATCCACAGACGAGAGCAATAATATCTTACAGAACTGTGGCCAATACTTCGTGCATCTGGAGAAAGACAAAAAATGGCGTAGTGGGTGTTGTCCTACTGCGCAAAAAATTATGATTTTCGGTGTACTCGGTAGCCTTCGGAAAACTTAAACGTCAACCAAAGTTGGTTTTGCCCCAAAATGAAGTTGCACTAAGAATATACATTAGGCAGTATCCTAAATATCAATCAATGAGCCTTGAGGAGCGTCTTGAATAGAGCATGAACCATGTCACTAAATTGCAAATAAAGCGAGACTCAACTTTCCTGTAAGATGTGAACCGGAGGACGCCCAACGCTAGCTGCATTTTCTAAGCGACCATCTCATTGAGTAAAATTCGTAATGACTCAATTGCGAGAATTTGCGTTCGTTCCGTGGATATGACGCCTGTGTTTCGTAGTTTAAATATTAGCGTGATAAACACAAGGACGCAAAAAAAAATCAGTGTACGTTGTCACAATTGGAGTAGCATTCTTGACTTAAGTGAAGCATGGTGAAAGTGAAACAAAGCGATGTCATTTTTTTCTTAACCTTTCAGTTGCCCTGATCATTGGCCCTGACTATGCCGAAGCAGTAGCTCTGTCAACAGGAGGCTTTCTAGATGTTCTTGGAAAGTTATTCGGAAGAAATGCGGAAACATCGAAGAAGTGAATGTGTGCCTTCGGATACCACGTGACCGTATTACGGTTAATAAAGTAGCCGGTCAAAATTCAATAAATGATTCGAAACAGAACCTTTGGGTAGACTTATTAAGTGACGCGAAATGGTGGGCACAAACTTGCACTTGTTTTGAGAAGTGTTTCTATTTCTTCTACGTTTTCTACTTTCGTTCTTGTCCAGATGTTTTGATTTCACTAACCACTTTAAGCTTACAATCTATCGTGCTGCATTTCACTCGCAGATACAATATTGTGATTTGAATTGGGGACAACATTGAAAGCTAACTTTAACAGACTAATTTTACTACAAAAATGGTCGTGATGCATATATTGCCGGCACATGCTTCGTGTGACCACTACTTTTGAACATCGGCTATTGCTTTCCTTCATATAAACGAAAACAATTGGCGTGCTCCGCATAGCAGAACACCCAAAAGTGGAGCCACGTTCGGTTGCCAGCGGTGCTTCGCAGTGTCACGTCTTAACCTGTGTCAATAATTTGAAGAACGATGGCTCTGAAAGAAAGTTTACCGGTTTTCCGCCGCCGTAATTGCACTTGAGAATTCGGTGGGAACACTAGATTGTTGTATGCCGCATGAACCTAGGCATCCCACGGGCATATTTTTGGAGGGCGTATGCTGTGGCTAGTTCACTGTGAATGTCCTTTCCACGCTAGGTAAAAGATTTTTTCGCACTGCTGAACGAACGAATCGGACCATCGTCAACGTTATCAAGAGTCTGCAGTCTACAAGTTTTTGGCGGAAAGTGATTGACAGATGCAGCAAGTACGCTGCTCCTATTTTTCCATCGAATTGCAGTTCAAAAGCAATCACAGTAAAAAAGAAGTTGCACATGCCAGGCAAAATGTCTCGCGGACCATAACAATTCTAATATTTTTTCACCCTGTACTGCCGTTGCCTTTAGCATTGTGCGTGCAAATAAAGCCGCGCCATGCCGATCTATTACATTACGTGACAGCTGAAACATCACGCTTGAATGTGGCACGTTGCAAAATTATTTAATGACTCATGCAGCCCAAGCAACATACAAAAAGGGAGCTGAACTCCTGAACAAAACTTCATGGAATTACCATACATTACTGAGCGAACACATCCACTCAGTGATACACGTGTTTAAATTGTGCGCATCGCAAGGAGCTAAGTAAAACTGTTCAGACGTAAATGTCATCGTTTTATCAACGAATAAAGTTCATTTGATTGATTTGTGGGGTTCAACGTCCTAAAACCAAGATACGATTATGAGAGACGTCGTATTAGAGTGCTCCGGAAATTTCGACCACCTGGGGTTCTTTAACGTGCACCCAAATCTGAGCACACGGGCCTACGACATTTCCGCCTCCATCGGAAATGCAGCCGCCACAGCCGGGATTTGATCCCGCGATCTACAGGTCAGCAGTTGAGTACCTTAGCCACGAGACCACCGTGGCGGGGCAACGAATAATGTTTTCAAACATTCATGGTGACGGCCTATGCTTCGAGCTTGACGCTGACCCACTGCACGAATCGCCATTCCGAAACACTGCCGCGCGCCTGTCTTACGTCACCTAGAATACATGTTTGATTCCGTAAGTGGAAATGATTGCTCAAAGTTTGATTCCCTCAAAAAATTAAGCCCTGTTAACTTCCTAGAAGCCTACCCGTGCTATTAAACTTGTCGTCGTCGCGCACACGCTTGCATACAACACATGCATAGCAAACTGAGAGACGATGATTCGTAGCAGGCCAGTTGGAACTGAAGGGACCGAAAGTCACCACTCATGGCGCTGGCGGCGACTTTATGCAGTTGACTGCTGCGCCATCCGTAGGTGCCCCACGCTTCCCAGTGGGGTAAGTGTTATGACGACCACTGCAAATATGACACGGAGAACAAGAAAGTACGCCACACAAGCGCTCTCTAACAACTGAAAGTTGAATGGATAAAAACGTGGCATATATTAACCGGAAGGAAGGCATTAACGCACCTTATCCACCCACAGGACGCGGAATCGATTCGAGCCTGCGGCGGCTGCATTTCCAATGGAAGTGGAAAGGTTGTAGGCCCGTGTGCTCAGATTCGGGTGTACGTTAATGAAGACTAGGTGGTCAGAATTTCTGCAGGCCTTCTCTACGGCGTCTGTCGTAATCATATCGTGGTTTTGGGACGTCAAACCCTACATATCTATCATCAAATCCAAAACAGACTTTATCTACAAAGTTCAATCATGTAATCACGTATTCTGCAGATTACGGGTCTTCAAAATGTGTTCCCTGGAGTCTAAGGGTTCCGCAGTCCCCTCTTTGGGCTTCCGCAAGCTACTGACAAATTTTCTCTGGTTCCGCACTCGCCCACTAAACTCCTTTAGAGGACGATTGATATAGGGAACCACCATTTCGTGCCCGAGCGTCAATAAGCACATCTAAGAGCATAACAGAAACGCGCGATCTGCACAATAAAACCCGCCAGCATCTTGTAGCCAACCAGACTCCGGAAATGGGATCTCGGGTGCCTTGTAGTACCACCATGTGCATTTCTGCTTTAGATTACGTGTCACTGGCGTAAGCAGAAAGTCTGAAGCGCTTTAAAAAGGGGTTGCACTTCAAGTTGACTGCATAACACCCTAAAAAAAGTTGACCGTAGAGGGAGGGGGTGCCCGGGCACATAATGTAGCTCAGCAGAGTTTCCTGGCACCAACATGCTTGAGAACACTCAACCTGGACATAAAACCTCAGAATTGGCGAGACCTATCGGAGACTGAATAACACACTTGTCTTTCAAACGCTTCTGTGAATCCATGCTTCCGGTGGTCCTTGTGTCTCATTACTCAATTTGTGTTGTTTAGCTCAGCTTCGCAATCACCGCCAGTGGAGGAACGATGCGTCGACAGTCTACCTTTAAGAAAGCGAGCGTGTCCTCTTAGACAGACGTTGAGACATCGTCCCGTGCACGGTGTTGTCCTGTCCACTGAATGTATATACATGGGCAGGGAGTCAAAAGTACGCAGGCTGCTATTACATGTATTCCTTTGGGAGCGTGGCCTCGGAATTTTCGACCCCCGCTCCTTCACCCCCGCATGACAAAAAAAAATGGAACACACTAATCCGCTGGCACAGTCGCTAAAGCGCTTGCAGTTCTCCTCAAAGTTCATTTCGCCGCTGGCACTGGCCCACCCCTTCTGTGCCCTTTTGTCATCGTTCGCGCACACGTTGTAGCTTTTTGCCGGCATGGAACACGACATTCATGTCATAATGACCGGCTACCTTCTTCAGGCAGTGCGAGACAAAGTGCAGATGTGGGACCACGGTGATATTTTCTTCGCTTATTCGCGGGAGAAACAGCTGGACCCTCTTTTGTATTCCCTCTTCAAGTGTTGTAACATCTCTGTGAAGTGGAGGCAATGATCATGTGTGGGAAACCAGGCGCTTCCAATCAATGTAGCTGCAGGTAAACTCTCGTGCAGCATGAAAACACGACTTTGTATAGCCGAATGAAGACGTGGCCGATCCCTTCTTTAGGATTTTCGCATAAGCAGGAAGATTGCTGAAAAGTGGTTTCGAAGCAGGGGAAATAATTAAGGCCAGTAAACATGATCTGTCTGACGTTAATGAAAGATCTAAGGACTGCAGGTTGTTCTCCTTCTGGGCTTCAGAAGTAAAGCGCAGACCTCTGCCCCGTTGCTTAAACATACTGAGGACCTGCATCTTAGCACAAAATTGGCATGATCAACAAACGCTAAGTATTCGTCGACGTACGCATCTAAACACACGCCGTGCAATTCTCTAAAAATCCCCTTCAAGGGCTCAGTCTGCTTTCCTAAGGAATATATTATTTAGTATGGGGCTTACACTGACACCTCAGTAATAAACAGTCATCCTTTTTTTCGTCTTAAGGGAAGTTTTCAATTTGAAGTTTGGTGACTGAAAAGATTGGTGATTAAAATGATCACAGCATATACACGGAGTGAATGATACTTTTGCGTCATGCAGGTCAGTGACTACTATTGTACAATTAAGAGTGATTATCGTGGTCTTGTAGTCTTGCCGTGCCCCCAACAGTGCATCGCTATTGTCAAAAGTTTGTACACGTGGGAATCATCATTAACGAAAGGCACAACATTGCGTAATATTTTATAGAATACCACCACAGTGTTTTTTCGAGTTTTGATGCTGCTACACTTCATAACCGTAGACCATACTTTCCTGCTCCCGATGTTGTATCGATGCCAGCTGTCATTTCTATGCTACTTAACCTTAAACCTAAAATCTTTCTCAAGTCCAGAAGATATACCTAATGTTGTTCTGAAAAGATATCCAGAAGCGTTAGCAGCTTTCATAGCTCGTATATTTCAAATGTCCCTGTCTTCAGCTACACTGCCTAATGATTGGCTTTTGGCACGTGTTGTACCCGTACTAAAAAAAGGTTACCCTACACTAGTAACAAATTATCGCCCTATATCACTAACCTCGTCATGTTGCCAACTACTTGAACATATTGCTGCGACAGGTTCGCCACATTCAAGTAGCCCGCCACAATCATCGTGGCACCAGCACCAGCAAGAACCGGCTCGGCTGGCATGCGCCACGCGTTCGTACGTTCCAACAACGAGGAAGAGGAAGATAGTCGGATCTGTGCCACTCGGCTACTCGAACTTGACGACCATAGTTTTTAGAATCGTGGGCACAAGTTCGCACTAATAAAGACGCTGGTTTTTTTAACCTGTTGGCGTCAGCATCGCTACATTTCTGGTGGAGGTGCTGGGTTATGAACCGAAGTCCCGCGAGCTCAAGACAGCGTAGCCCCGACGACCAGCGTATCAACCCCGTGGAAGTGACTCCTGTACACCAGAGGGCAAGTCGCCATCTTCGAGGTGACTCACCTGAGTTCGGTCCTCTTCACTTCACACCAAGTGAAATTCAAACGATGGATGCCACCACTATGACTAGCCAGGTAACACCGGCACAAGTGTTCATTAGCCAACCGCACCAGCCACCAGTTTTCCACGGCGACTCGTACGAGGATGTTGAAGATTGGTTGGACCTGTTCGAGAGAGTAGCGAGCTTGAATGGATGGGACGAAA